CTTTTGTTGAGTTCTTCACACACCTCTTTGTCATTCTCTGTGTACCTGTCCTCGCCCACCCTAAGTTTCATCACCTGTTCCTTCACTGTTGTCTTCCTCCTGATGTGACTGTTTAGTAGCTTTGGTTCGGTCTTGGCTTTATTAGCTATATCATTTTCATACCTTTTCTCAGCTGCTCTTCTCAGACTAACATACTCCTTCCTGGTTCTCTGGTATCTCTCTCTACTTTCTGGTGTTCTGTTATTACGGAAGTTCCTCCATGCCCTTTTGTTCAGCTCCTTTGCTTTCATACATTCCCTATTAAACCACGGATTCTTCCTTTGCTACTCTGTTTTTTTCTGTTGGGCTGGGACAAACCTGCTTACAGCCTCCTGACATTTTTGGGTGACATAGTCCATCATGTCTTGTACGGACTTGGTTCCGAGTTCTGTGTCGCAATGTATATCCCATAGGAATTTATTCATCTCCTCATAGTTTCCCTTTCGGTACGCCAGCCCTTTGTTTCCCAGTTCTTTTTTGGGGGTGATAATTCCTAGCTCAACCAGGTACTCAAAGCTCAATACACTATGATCACTCATTCCCAAGGGGGCTTCCAACTTACTTCCCTTATATCCGACTCATTTAGGGTAAATATCAGATCAAGCAAGGCTGGTTCATCCCCCTCCTCTCGTTCTTGTCGGTCCCTTGACGTGTTGACTTAGAAAGTTTCTTGTTGCCACATCCAGCAGCTTAGCTCTCCATGTATCTGGGCCTCCATGTGGGTCTCTGTTCCCCCAATCTATCTTTCCATGGTTGAAGTCTCCCATGATTAGTAGCCTGGATCCGTTCCTGCTAGCCACAGAAGCTGCTCTCTCTATTATATTGATAGTTGCCAAGTTGTTTCTATCATATTCCTGTCTGGGTCTTCTGACATTCGGTGGGGGGTTATATATGACTACTACTATAATTTTCTGTCCTCCAGTTGCTATGGTGCCTGATATGTATTCCCTGAAACCTTCACAGTTCTGAATAATTATCTCTTCGAAACTCCAACCTTCTCTTAGTAGCAAAGCTACACCACCTCCTCCTCTCCCTTCTCTCTCTTTCCTCACTACATAGTAGCCCTGTGGAAACACTGCATTTGTTTTGGTGTTTGTTAGCTTTGTTTCTGTGAGTGCTATTATGTCTGGGTTTTCTTCTAGTGCCCATTCTCCGAGTTCACTTGTTTTATTTGTAATTCCATCTATGTTAGTGTACATTGCCTTGAAGCTCACTTTCTTCTGTTCATTTTCTTGTCCCTTTCTTGGCGAGCATTCTGCTGGTGTAGGAAGCTTTTCAGTGGGTGAGATGATCTGTGAGGTGGTTTGCAGGCTTTCAGGGGAGTTTGGGGTGAAGAGTGGGGGTTTCATGGAAGGGGGGACAGGTAGGGTGTGGGTTAAGGAGATAGGGGGGACATGGAGGATACGGGGTGAGGACGGATAGGGAGGGTATGGGATGAATGGGGAGGGGAGACCGGGGGGGGCAGGTAGGGTGAGGGGAAGGGAGAGTTTCTATGCAGAGGGGGGTGGTGGAGTTGCCCTCCCCTCTGGTGTTGCTGGGATGCTGGTTTTGGGTTCGCCTCTTGTCTCTAGGACTGTTGTGTTGGGGGCTGTGATTTCCTGGTTTGCTTCTCCCTCCCTGCGCTTCCTCCTTGCCTCTGCTGCCCTGGCTCTCTCCTCCTTCGTCCTGTCCCTCTGCAGGAATACTTTCTTGTATCCCTCCACATGCTGCAGTCGACTCTTCCTTTCGAGAATATCCTCCTTCATGGTTTCGTTTGTAAACACCACCTTTACAAGTCGGTTTCTGTCCTTGTTGTACCAGCCCAACCTGAAAACCTTCTCAATGTTTAGTTCAGCCCCTTCCATCTGTAACCCGTTCAGTAACCCCTGTACTGCCTCTCTATCCTTGCTATTCCATTCTTGCCTGTTGGATCCTTCCTGTTCTTTGATGCCTTTGTGTGTGTGTGTGTGTGTGTGTGTGTGTGTGTGTGTACTCACCTAATTGTACTCACCTAATTGTGCTTGCGGGGGTTGAGCTTTGGCTCTTTGGTCCCGCCTCTCAACCGTCAATCAACTGGTGTACAGATTCCTGAGCCTACTGGGCTCTATCATATCTACATTTGAAACTGTGTATGGAGTCAGCCTCCACCACATCACTTCCTAGTGCATTCCATTTACTAACTACTCTGACACTGAAAAAGTTCTTTCTAATGTCTCTGTGGCTCATTTGGGTACTCAGGTTCCACCTGTGTCCTCTTGTTCGCGTCCCTCCAGTGTTGAATAGTTCATCCTTGTTTACCCGGTCGATTTCCCTGAGGATTTTGTAGGTTGTCATCATGTCTCCCCTTACTCTTCTGTCTTCCAGTGTCGTAAGGTTCATCTCCCGCAGCCTTTCCTCATAACTCATGCCTCTTAGTTCTGGGACTAGTCTAGTAGCATACCTTTGAACTTTTTCCAGCTTCGTCTTGTGCTTGACAAGGTACGGGCTCCATGCTGGGGCCGCATACTCCAGGATTGGTCTTACATATGTGGTGTACAAGATTATGAATGATTCCTTACACAGGTTCCTGAACGCCGTTCTGATGTTAGCCAGCCTCGCATATGCCGCAGACGTTATTCTCTTTATGTGGGCTTCAGGAGACAGGTTTGGTGTGATATCAACTCCAAGATCTTTCTCTTTCTCTGTTTCATTAAGTATTTCATCTCCTATTCTGTATCCTGTGTCTGGCCTCCTGTTTCCACTGCCTAGTTTCATTACTTTGCATTTACTCGGGTTGAACTTCAACAGCCATTTGTTGGACCATTCACTCAGTCTATCTAGGTCATCTTATAGCCTCCTACTATCATCCTCTGTTTCAATCCTCCTCATATTTTTTGCATCGTCGGCAAACATTGTGAGGAACGAATCTATACCCTCTGGGAGATCATTTACATATACCAGAAACAGTATAGGTCCAAGGACTGACCCCTGCGGGACTCCACTTGTAACGTCTCGCCAATCTGAGACCTCACCCCTCACACAGACTCGTTGTCTCCTGTTGCTTAGGTACTCCTCTATCCACAGGAGTACCTTCCCTTTCACTCCAGCCTGCATCTCCAACTTTCGCACTAGCCTCTTGTGTGGCACTGTATCAAAGGCTTTCTGACAATCCAAAAATATGCAGTCTGCCCACCCATCTCTTTCTTGCCTTATTTTTGTTGCCTGGTCGTAGAATTCAAGTAACCCTGTGAGGCAGGACCTGCCATCCCTGAACCCATGTTGATGCTGTGTTACAAAGTTCCTTCGCTCCAGATGCTCCACTAGTTTTTCGCACAATCTTCTCCATCAGCTTGCATGGTATGCAGGTTAGGGACACTGGCCTGTAGTTCAGTGCCTCCTGTCTATCCCCTTTCTTGTATATCGGGACTACGTTAGCTGCTTTCCAAATATCTGGCAGGTCCCCTATTGCCAGTGATTTGTTATACACTATGGAGAGTGGTAGGCACAGTTCTCTTGCTCCTTCCTTTAGAACCCAAGGGGAGATTCCATCTGGGCCTATAGCCTTTGACACATCTAACTCTAGTAAACACTTCCTTACTTCCCCGCTGGTAATCTCAAACTCTTTCAGTGGTCTCTGGTTAGCTATTCCCTCACTTACCTCTGGAATTTCGCCTTGTTCTAAGGTGAAGACCTGGAATTTCTTATTCAATTCCTCACACACTTCCTTGTCATTTGTAGTGAATCCTTCCGCCTCTATCCTTAATTTCATAACCGGGTCCTTTACTGTTGTTTTTGTCCTGATGTGGCTATGCAACAATTTAGGCTGAGTCTTTGCCTTGCTTGCGATGTCATTTTCGTATTGTCTTTCTGCCTCTCTTCTCATCCTGACATATTTATTCCTGGCATTCTGGTATCTTTCTCTGCTCTCCAGTGTCCTGTTATTCCTATAGTTTCTCCATGCCCTTTTACTTTGCTGCTTAGCTAGCCTACATCTCTGATTAAACCATGGGTTTCTCATTTTCATTTCTCTGTTTTCCTTTTGGACTGGGACAAACTTGTTTGCTGCGTCCTTGCACTTCTGCGTGATGTAATCCATCATATCTTGGGCCGTCTTTTCCCTGAGCTCTGTTTCCCATGCAATATCTGTTAGGAATTTTCTTATCCCCTCATAGTTTCCCTTTCGGTAGGCTAACCTTTTGGTTTCGGTATCCCTCCTCGAGTTCAATAACCCTTCTTCAATCAAGTACTCAAACACCAGTACACTGTGGTCGCTCATTCCTACTGGGTCCTCAAAACCGATTTCTCCTATGTCGGAGTCGTTCAGAGTGAAGACTAGGTCGAATCTCGCTGGTTCGTCATTGCCTCTCATCCTTGTTGGTTCTCTGACATGCTGGGTTAAAAAGTTGCTTCTCACCACCTCCAATAGTTTGACTCTCCACGTATCTTCGCCTCCATGCGGTTCCTTGTTCTCCCAGTCAATCCTTCCGTGATTGAAGTCGCCATGATGATCAGGTGGGATCTATTTCTACAGGCGTGTGTTTGTGTGTGTGTGTGTATGTGTGTGTGTGTGTATGTGTGTGTGTGTGTGTGTGTGTGTGTGTGTGTGTGTGTGTGTGTGTGTGTGTGTGTGTGTGTGTGTGTGTGTAAGAGGTTAGAAAAGCGGGATGGTATCTAAGTCCGCAGATATAAATAGTAAATACACACACACACGGGTTTCACCGAGATAAACCTAGCAAGTAAGATCTAACATGAGATCTTACAAATTTATATAGAAATATGTAAACAAAACAGAGGCCTACGAAGATCTAGAAGAGAGACACAAAACTCAACACGGACTCTGCTGGTATTCCAGCTCGGTTATCCAAGACCAATCTAGATTGAATTATTATCTTTACTGATAAAATTAATATGCAATTTTGCCTAATCGGAGTAATTCAATTAGGTGTTATTACAGTGATGCTGATGCTCATTTTCACTGCCACACGGGGCAGGAGATCGTCTAGATGGCCGGAGGTCTGGGAAGAAGAGGGACTGAAGCTCTCAGGTAACTGAAAAGAAACCAATTAAGAAAACCCAAGAAACGGACGACAGAATAGCAGGGCTGCTGGAGAAAGTAAGTGGGAACCTATAGGAAGAAATCACCCACACACGGGTACTGAAAATTGGGGAGAAAAAATATAAAAGGAAATAAGTAAAACCCAATATATAATTTACATTTTAAATAGAAAGAGATAACACCCTACCTTTCTCAGACAGGCTTATAAAGCCAGATGGAGACTATACCGCTCATGGTCTTCAGAAAACTAAATTTGTTTACCTTTGATCACTTATGTTAACATAACGAGACGAGAGATAACGAGTAAATATTAGTGCCATATAACGCAATCACAGATTCGCTGCGTTATTTCGCTGTTTTTCATTGTACATTGATAGCGGTTAGCCTCTTTATTTGACCATTTAGAATTTTCTGGCTTACAATCTTATCAAAATACTAGCAGTACCCGGCCACGCGTTGCTGTGGCTCAGCAACGCATGTGCGTTGCTGAGTCACGGCAACCTTCCCTGTCCTCCAGTCCTCCCCACCATTCTCTCCTCAGCCTGCCAACCATTCCCCACACCACCATCCCCTCTTCCTTCCCACCATACCCCACTCCCCGGTCCCTTTGTCCTCCCCACCATTCTCAATTCCCCCATCCCCTCGTCCCCACCATCCCGAATTCCCCCGTCCCCACTTCCTTCACCACCATTACCCCGTCACTTTTCCTCTTGTCCTCCCCACCATCTCTCACTTCCGTCCCCTCGTCATCCTCACCATTCCCCACTCCCTCTTCCGATGCCTTTCCAAATGGTCCAATGTTCCCATCAGAAAATTGGGAAAATCAAGTGATCTGATGATCCCCATCACTGAAATATAAGAAAAACAGTTAAAAAATTTAATGAAATTATGAAAAAATAATAAAATAAACTATACTCATGAAATGAACGGTATGGTAAATAACACAGCTCAATTCCAATGCAATTCACACAAATTAAATAAATCAAAATGAAAATAAATCAAAATCTATGAAAATTCAATTTATCAATGCAGTCAGAAACATTGAAATGGAATTCGTGACATATTTATTATAGCGTGAATATTGCCATTATGTGCAACAGATGGCGCTGTTTTTCAAAAAAACATTGTTTTTACCTGTCACAGGGGTGGCATCAATATAGTAGGTATATAAAAAGACGCGCCTATTCGAATGCAATGTTGTGTCAAAATTTCCAAGCAATTGGTGAAGAACTTTTGGAGATTACAACGTATGTTGCTCTTACGTCCAACAGATGGCGCTGTTTTTTAAAAAAACCTGTTTTTTACTGTCACAGGTGAGGCATGTATATAGTAGATATATAAAAAGACGCGCCTGTTTGAATGCAACGGTGTATCAAAATTTCAAAGCAATCGGTAAAGAGGTTTCGAAGATTTCCCTCACATGAAAAACACAGTTTTTTCAGAAAAAGCATGTTTTTTTACCTTTCACAGACGTGCCATCTATATAGTATGTATATAAAAACCTGGCTGGATGCGAATGGAACATTTTGTGAAAATTTCAAAGCAATCGGTGAATAACTTTTGGAGATTAGCGATTTTGAACAAACGAACATATCCAATTTTTATTTATATAGATATCAATATTAACATTCGTGGCGTAGTGGTAACACACTAGCTCCATGTCTCGTGATCAAATTCATCTGGGTTCGAACCCTGGCCATGTAGGATTGACTGGGTGCTAATTCATACTTGTTTGCCCCAGCCCACCCAGCAGTAATTGGAAACCTGGTTTGTAAACCGATTGCTGGTTAGTGTTTCAGGTGTGACGGTAAAGCGTTGGTGTTCGGCTGTTTCAAAAGCTAGGGGCAGGGCCTCGTCACATAATAATAGAAAAAAAAAGAGAAAAGCTGGAGCTTTCGTCTGTGGTAAGGTAATGGGAAGACACACAAAACACAAGTAAATTAACATTGAAATTTTAATTACTTTAGAAAAACAAGACATGAATAAAGTTAAGCACATAAAATATGAAAGACAAGTCAACAAACAAAATAATATGAATAATCACTGGCAAATGAAAAGTTACGTTAAGACAAGTGAGTTACAGTGATAGCAAAATAAAATATTAGTGATGCTGGAATATTGGCTTCAAGCTGCCACCTCCCTTAGTACACGAAAGCCAAGGCTTAGTCTACCAGCGAGAGATGTCAACTGCTTGGAGCACTGAGATATTCTGACGATACTGCCGCACCGCAGTCCAGACGTCAACTTGTGGCGGAGGCGGAAGGCAGGTGCGACGGGACACCAGCCAATCAGCGACAGGCAGGCAAAGGATGAGCAGTTAGCTGGTTACGGCGGTGGTAGGTAGCAGGTGTCACTGTGTGCTGGGTACGATTTACGACTTGCTCTCTGGGCAAAACGTTTGGCGATACTTGCCGGACGTATCTTCTATATTATCTTTTATATTGACATACTTTGTAGGGAAGAGCAGGCTCAATCTCTCTTGAAAGAGATTATCGTCACACATGAAAAACTAGTTGGGGTAAGGCATAACTTTCCATAATGAGCTATGGAAAGGGAAGGCTCTAAGCCCGCTGACGATGTCTGGATTTTCAAACAGAAAAGGCAGCAAACATCACTAACACGTCAGGTTGGATAACAAGAACCTTTTACACAAGAGATGCTATACCAATGATGATATTTTTCAAGACGTTAGTGCTCTCTTCACTGGAATACTGTTGCACAATGACAGCTTTTAAAGATACAGAAATTGCTGACCTTGAGAGCGTGCAGAGATCCTTTACTGTTATAATCCGCTCATTAAAAAATCTAAACTATTCGGAACGACTAAGATGCCTAAACCTAAAATTTCTCTAGGGCGTAGGCTGGAGAGATACATAATAAATTACACGTGGAAAATAGTAGAGGGGCTAGTCCCAAACCTGCATACACAGAAATAATATCACATGAGACCAGAAGGCATGGCAGGATGTGCAGAATACCCCCGTTGAAGATCAGAGGTGCCACAGATACTCTGAGAGAGAACTCTATCAACATCAGAGGCCCGAGACTGTTCAACACGCTTCCACTACACATAAGGGGCATAACTGGCCGAACCCTCACAGTGTTCAAGAGAGAACTTGATAAACACCTCCAAAGGATACATCAACCAGGCTGTGATTCATACGTCAGGCTGCGAGCAGCCGCGTCCAACAGCATGGTTGACCAGTCCAGCAACCAGGAGGTCTGGTCGGAGACCGGGCCGCGGGGAAGTTGAGCCCCGAAATCATGGGTAACCTTAAGGTAACACCCGCACTGAAACCATTACAGACACCAAACCTCCTCCTTGAACCTCCTCGTCAGGAGCAGAACAGAATCATTGCGACCAGAAGTGAAAACAAAGTCTTTTAAAAACTGTGACGATGTATACACAGGAGACAAACTTAGATCAGAGGATTTGAGAATGTAAATATTCGTCTCAAGAGAATGAGAGTACGAACTCGTCACGCACAAACACCACGAACAACACCATACAAACTTTAAGGATGTTAACATACCCTTCACAAAAGAAAACATTAGAAGACAGAGTATAGCAACTCCAGCCACCAAACATTGCAACACCATACGGATTGCAGGAAGTTTCGTATCGTAAACACACTTTGTACCTCAAAAAATACATATTATGACCAACTTAATTCCACGCTTTATGTCTTTACTCAATTTCACTTCAACCTTCTTTTTCCTTCATAAGCAGCTAACTTTGTGGATATTATTCAGCCCATCCTCCTAAGGTTTCCTAACATCAAGAAACTGTCCTACTAAAGTGCCCTTATCCTAACCCACCAGAGGACCCCAAAACAGAAAACGGGCCAGTATGTCAATTTTGCGAGCCGCTCCCATTTTCTAGCACGACAATTTCTGGCCTTAGGTAGGGTGCACGTCAAAATGCGACGTTCTATTAGAAGGACGTGTTGACATTACCCTGACTGAGGGTAGGATACAGTCTGGATATTGGTGGTTCCTGCTGCCATGTTATTCAGGTGTTTTCTTGATGTATAGACTTTCTAGTTCTTCTGGCGAGCCTGTAACGTGTTAATGTCTTGTGTTTACCCCCGGCGCAGGGTGCTGACCTTCTGGTATCTGCCGGTGTTCAACGCCTGGCTGCTGTTGTGCCCGTGGACGCTGGCGCACGACTGGCAGATGGGCTCCATCCCGCTCATCACCTCCATCATAGACACCAGGAACATCGCTTCTCTTTTGTTCTACGGCGCCCTTGTACTTATACTCAGAGCTGGATGCTTGATGAAGGTAATAAATATTTGACAGTGTTGCTGTTGTGTTTTATCTGTATTAGTTACACCCACCCACCACACACACCTGCCTATCCACCACACACACACCTGCCTATCCACCACACACAACTTCCTACCCAATACACACACCTGCTTAACCAACTACCCAAAGACCTTTTACCTGTGAATACCTGCACAGGTAAAAGGTCTTTACACAAAGCTCTCTCTCTCTTGTTATTAACGACCATCAGGAGCAGCTTCTCTCTTATCCTCTCCTCCTCCACCTCCTCCTTTTCTCATCCTCTCCTCTCCTGATGTCTCTATCATATTTACATTTTGTTTGCATTCTACCCCTGGATGAATTCCTCTTTTAAGCTGTTTCCTTTGGAATTTGCATCAGATATTTTATGAGTATTCTATATTGAACCGCTTCCTCCAGTTCAGTTGTGTGTGTGAGAGACAAACAGAAAGAAGGGATGAGGAAGAAATCTGAGGACATTTAGTGGGAGGGATGGTGCAGAAAGGTGTACGAGATATATTATATATATATATATATATATATGACAATGTCAGACCTTGACTCCTTCTGAAGATGTATTAATATACGAAAGTACTTAAGGAAATTCCTGTTTCATTTTTCCTCCGTGGTCTGACATTGTCACATTTTAATCACGTGTTTATTTTCGTGATATACACACACACACACACACACACACACACACACATATATATATATATATATATATATATATATATATATATATATATATATATATATACTGGTAGTGTTGGCAGTGTGAGCAGTCAACCGCCAACAGTCTTCCAACCACTGACAGGACGCCAACTCCCCAGTGATCTCATTATAAAAATCTGACCCTTCGCTTTGACTCAAATTTCTGTCACAACATTTTACGGGACAAGTGCTCTCCTGACCTCCCCCCCCCCCCTCTCCTGCACCTCCAGGCTCTCCTACAGCCACCCTTGTTTATTTCCCTAACTCCCATCCCCCCGGCAGGGGAATGGCGACTCTCGCGTGTAATTCTGAATGTTCCTCAAACTGAAAACTTCCCCAAGCTCCTAAAACAACGGATTTTACTGCAGTATGTATTACTCCTGGATTTGTTTTGATCCAATTTCTGCAAAATTCTGTGTCGTCTTTTCAGTGTGTATTATTCTAAATACTTATTTTTGAATGAACCAGTTCAATACAGTTCCTGTATTGAACTGTCCCGTTGAACGAAGCGAAAGGTGTGTTAGCTTTTGTCAGGTTTATTGACCCTTAAAATTACCTACAAATAATTTAAAAGAATTTATTAATCAACGTTATTGCTTGCACCCTCATGTAAACACCGCTCCTATAAACTCACACACACACACACACACACACACACACACACACACACACACACACACACACACACACACACACACACACACACACACACACACACAGTCTCTCTTCCTCCCGTGTTATTGCTCCCCAACACAAGCGTGACAGTGGCCTAAGTTACCCTCATCTCGCTCCTCTGTGCCCTTGCTCGCCGCGCTCGACCTTGCCTGCTCCTGTCCGTGCCTGTCCTCGTCAGTGCTGGAGCGGTGTCTTTCTCTCCTCGTGCAGGGCCAGGAGGGGCGGGCGTTGCTGCTGGGGCTGGCGCTGCTGGTGCTGCCATTCCTCCCGGCCACCAACCTCCTCTTCACCGTCGGCTTCGTCATCGCCGAGAGGATACTCTACATCCCCAGGTGGGTTCTGGTGTGTGTGTGTGTGTGTGTGTGTGTGTGTGTGTACTCACCTAGTTGTGTCTGCAGGATCGAGCATTGACTCTTGAATCCCGCCTTTCGAGCATCGGTTGTTTACAGCAATGACTCCTGTCCTATTTCCCTATCATACCTGGTTTTAAAATTATGAATAGTATTTGCTTCCACAACCTGTTCCTGAAGTGCATTCCATTTTCCCACTACTCTCACGCCAAAAGAAAACTTCCTAACATCTCTGTGACTCATCTGAGTTTCAAGCTTCCATCCATGTCCCCTCGTTCTGTTACTATTCCGCGTGAACATTTCGTCTATGTCCACTCTGTCAATCCCTCTGAGTATCTTATACGTTCCTATCATGTCCCCCCTCTCCCTTCTTCTTTCTAGTGTCGTAAGGCATAGTTCCCTCAGGCGCTCCTCATACCCCATCCCTCGTAGCTCTGGGACGAGTCTCGTTGCAAACCTCTGAACCTTTTCCAGTTTCATTATATGCTTCTTCAGATAAAGACTCCATGATGAGGCGGCATACTCTAAGACTGGCCTCACGTAGGCAGTGTAAAGCGCCCTAAATGCCTCCTTACTTAGGTTTCTGAATGATGTTCTAACTTTTGCCAGTGTAGAGTACGCTGCTGTCGTTATCCTATTTATATGTGCCTCAGGAGATAGATTAGGTGTTACGTCCACACCCAGGTCTCTTTCGCGCGTCGTCACAGGTAGGCTGTTCCCCTTCATTGTGTACTGTCCCTTTGGTCTCCTATCTCCTAGTCCCATTTCCATAACTTTACATTTGCTCGTGTTGAATTCCAGTAGCCATTTCTCTGACCATCTCTGCAACCTGTTCAGGTCCTCTTGGAGGATCCTGCAATCCTCATCTGTCACAACTCTTCTCATCAACTTTGCGTCATCCGCAAACATCGACATGTAGGACTCTACGCCTGTAAACATGTCGTTAACATATACAAGAAATAGAATTGGTCCCAGCACCGATCCTTGTGGTATTCCACTTGTTACTGTTCGCCAGTCCGACTTCTCGCCCCTTACCGTAACTCTTTGGCTCCTTCCTGTTAGGTAGTTCCTTATCCATGCTAGGACCTTTCCCCCCACCCCGCCTGCCTCTCGAGCATGAACAGCAGTCTCATGTGCAGTTCTGTATCAAAGGCTTTTTGGCAGTCCAGAAATATGCAGTCTGCCCAACCATCTCTGTCCTGTCTTATCCTCGTAATTTTATCATAGAATTCCAGAAGGTATGTTAGGCACGATTTCCCTGTCCAGAACCCATGTTGATGTTTGTTCACAAACCTAATGTTCTCCAGGTGTGCAACCAGTCGTAGCCTAATTATTCTTTCCAGTATTTTACAGGGGATGCTTGTCAGTGATACAGGTCTATAGTTAAGTGCTTCCTCCCTATCACATTTCTTGAAGATCGGCACGGCATTTGCCTTCTTCCAGCAACTGGGCAATTCTCCCGACATAAGTGACTCATTAAAGATCATTGCCAGAGGCACGCTGAGGGCCTGCGCTGCTTCTTTTAGTATCCACGGTGATACTTTGTCTGGTCCAACTGCTTTAGTTGCATCTAGAGTTGTCAACTGTTTCATTACCTCCTCTGCTGTCACCTCTATATCTGATAGTCTTTCATCTAGGGTAACCCCTTCCAACAATGGGAGCTGCTCAGGCTCGGTAGTGAACACTCCATGGAAACTGGCATTCAGTGCCTCGCAGATTTCCTTGTCACTTTCAGTATATGCCCCCTCTGTCTTCCTTAGTCTTGTCACTTGGTCGTTCACCGACATTTTTCTTCTTATATGACTGTGTAGTAACTTAGGTTGTTTTTTCGCTTTGATTGCAATATCGTTCTCATAGTCCCTTTCCGATGTTCGTCTTATGTTAAGGTAATCGTTCATAGCTCTGTTGTATCTGATCCTGTTGTCCTCTGTCCTTTGTCTTCTGTACTTCCTCCAATCCCGCCTGCTGGCCATTTTTGCTTCCTGACACTGTCTATTAAACCATGGGTTATTATATTCCTTCTTTTTTTTTCCCTTTACTCTTGGTATAAATCTCTCTTCGGCCTCCTGGCATTTCTGTATGACTAGGTCCATCATATCTTGGACTGTTTTTCCTCTAATTTCTTCCTCCCACTGCACTTCACCCAGATAGTCCCTTATCCTCTTATAGTCCCCTTGTAACGGGGGTGAGGGAAATAGCTCTATCTTGTCCATTATTCCACCCCCCAGTTAACTAACGAGGCCGGGGGAAACAGCTCTCTCTAGTCCGTTATCCCGTCCCCAGTTAGCTAACTATTCTAGAGCACTCCCAGAGTTCCTAAAGCAACCTCTCTCGTTCAACACCTTGTAAGCTAGGTATTTGACTACCTAGGTGCTAAGACTACAAGGCGCTGTAACTTGATCAGTTACCCGAAACTCTAGAGAGAACTCTAGAATACATTTCACTGCCACAAACCTATAAGAGGAAACGAAAGGAAAGAAATGAATAGTGAGGTATTTAGTGAGGGTTTGGGGTGAGAGGTAGGGAGGTGGGAGGAGCGAGGAGGATCATTAGTTGAAAGTGAGAGTTTAGAGAGGGGTGGAGGGAGAGGTGTAGATAGGTAGAAGTAGAAGAGTAGATAGTAGAAGACGAAATGCTGCCACCATCCATTCTAGACCATTACATACAAGACAAGGAATGGAACTTGTCTGTATCAAAATATTCTCAAAAGATGTTATCACCATGTATCAACTCCAAACATGTACTCATTAATATCATGAATCCAGTAACCACAGAGGCATTCTCACCTCAACTCAAAGCTCTAGGGAACAAAGACAATTTAAATAATAAATTCATAATTATATTTCATATGAAGTATCATACTTTAGCAATTCCAATGTTCAAGGTTTATATGCAACATAAGTCATCAACCAAGAATTTGAGAACACTACAACTGACTGCTTCTGATCATCACACAACACTTGTAAAACACGACCAAGTCACCTTAATGTTCAACTCACCAAGTGTCTGCCTATAGCTGGATAGAGGGGGGGGGGGTCTGTAGTTGAGAGACTGTCCCGCCCTGCCGGCCGACAGCCTCCCGGCTAGGCTGTCTCCTCTGCTCTGCTGGCTGCTGTTCTTCTCTGTCTCGTTAATGCTCTCGAATCGATAGCTCTCCGAGTATATATTGGGGAACCTAGTAACTAACTCCACCCACAAGTAGATAGTCTCAGGCACTCTACCAAGCCACTCCTTAAACGTCAGCATGTTTGAAGGCTACCAGGCTCCAATTATAAGATTAGTAGAAGTAAGGTGAAATTTGCATGATTTGACCTCAGGTCACTTGAGGTCATTAACGCTTTGAGGTGTGAGATCTCAGGCCGACAACCTGGCGCCTTCTCAAATTCTTGTCTGTGACTCATGTATCTCTATGTATTTTAAATACAACTAAACCAAACACCTTACAGTGTTACACCCTTTCCTGTAGTCAACTCTCCTTTCCCAGATCTCTTGTCCCATGGTCATAAGTTTGAATTCCATCATGTAGTCAAAGACTAGGACACAATGGTCACTGACCCCTAGAGGTATTTCATGCTCTAAATTCTCGATATCTTCTACGTTCTGGGTGAAAATTAGGTCTAATAGGCTCGGTGCATCTCTTCCTCTTTCCCTTGTGTCTTCCCTCACATGTTGTGTTAGGAAATTCCTGTCTATAACATCTACTAATTTTGCTCCCCACGTTTTGTCCCCTCCATGGGGATTCCTTGATTCCCAATTTATCTCTCCAATTATTATCTGTGTATGTGTGTGTGTCTGTGTGTGTGTGTGTGTGTGTGTGTGTGTGTGTGTGTGTGTGTGTGTGTGTGTGTGTGTGTGTGTGTGTGTGTGTGTGTCTGTGTGTGTGTGTGTGTGTGTATGTGTGTGTGTGTGTGTGTGTTTTATACCATTACTCATTTATTAGGACACCGTCTGTGTGCTCTAGATCCCCCAGGTGAATGACTGAAGTGTTTCCATCACCGAGACAAGCTGCCAGTGTAAATATCTAAGACACAAGAATCATCTTGGCCCCGGGCAGGAGCGGTAGTTGTACCGCCGTCAACACATATCAAAAGGCATTAGCAACAAAACGAGCAGAAATATTCTAGCAAATATATAACAAAGCATTAATAACTGAAGTAATTCACCTGAAGACGTGCTGGGGAATGCAGATGAAAAATTAGCAACTGCAGGAGCAAGAGTGATCATAGCAGGAGCAACAGCAGCAAGTTATATGTAAATCAGCAGGAGGAGCAGTTAAAAGTACATTAGCAGCAGCAGCAGCTAAATCACCAAGAAGAGCAGATACAAACAGCAGTAGCAGTTACAGGAGGAGTAACGAGTCTATAATCGCAACAGAGACAATTCCCTACATCAGTAAAAGTTGAATAGCAGCAGCACAAGCAACAGTAGCAGTTGCAAAAGCAGTAACAGTTGCATATGACGATGAGTAGGAGCAGGAGGACGATGAGGAGGAGCAGGAGGAGGAAGAGGAGGAGTCCAGATGGCAGGATATGAGTGTAGGAGGACACGCAGGTCTGTGAGGCATGTGCTAGTAATGACCATTTCCATCTGGCTGCCTTGTCCACCTCCGCCAGATGTGCTCCTGCTCTTCCTCTCATCCGGCCCGCACACTCCACCGATATACCTTATATAGTCTTCTCATCCGGCCCGCAGACTCCACCGATATACCTTATATAGTCTTCTCATCTGGCCCGCACACTCCACCGATATACCTTATATAGTCTCCTCTCTCCCGCCTCGTTTTTACCACCTTTTTTATCCTCATATATTCTTATTCTTGCTTTCGTTTGGTTTGTTTTCGTCTAGTTCTTTCAAGGTTTAGTTTCTTTGTGTTTCTTATTTTACAACTTCGCTTTCATATTATTATTAGTCCTGAGAAAAGTTAAAGAACTTGACTCAATACCTGACTCAAACACTCGTGTTTGTCCTCAGGAGCCACGCTG